AGTAAGTCGTTTGATTTCTTGACTGCTGCTGCCATGAGTGTCGATGGTGAGTGAATGATGATAAAATGAAGTCTTTGACAACTTCATTTCTTTTTCCATTTATTTTGATGTTATTCATTGGTCCAGTGGTGAGGATTTTTGTTTTCTTTATAGTGAGATGCAACCCATACCAAAGGCTGGTCTTTGATCTTCATCAGTATTTTAAATCCTCTCTGCTTTCTGCAAGCAAGGTTGTATCATCAACAGGTTGTTGATGAGCCTTCCTCAAATCCTGATGCCACATTCTTCATACAAACCAGCTTCTCGACTATGTGTTACCATACAGATTGAATAAGTATGATGAAATAATTCAACACTGGACACACTTTTCCTGATGTTAAACCATTTAGTGTCCCCTTGTTCTGTTAAAACAACTATCTCTTCGTTTCTGTACAGGTTCCTCATGAGCACAGTTAAGTGTTCTGGAATATCCCTTCGCTGTGTTGTCAATACCTTGTCATGATCCACACAATTGTAAGCATTTGCATAAAAAAGCACAGATAAACATCTTTCTGGTGTTCTCTGCTTTCAGCCAAGATCCATCTGATGTCAGTGATGATATCCTTCATTCCTTGTCCTCATCTGAATCTGGCTTGAATCCTTGTTGCTGTACTGCTGTAGCTGTTTCTTGGGTTCTTGGAGATCTTCATGTGGTGTGACCTCAGTGTTCCATCATCTGTGCTTCCCTGTCTCTGTACCTGACTTGCTCTTTTTATATCTCAAAAGTGATGACTGCAGACATACCCTACAATGATACAGACTTACTAACATTAAAAAAATGTACGCACTGGTATAGAGATTAGAATTTACAACACATGTTTTTTGGGAGACCATGGGAACCACAATTCAGTACATAACATGCTTATTGACCATTTGTATATCTCATTGTCATTTCTTGAAGAAATCAGAAATGTCTTTTCAAATCTTGTTGGGTTTCCAAGGAGCGTTTGGTGAGCATGAACCGCCAACTTTGCAGTTCAAACCAACTTTGCAATCCAGTGCATTAACCTACAGCGCCATACCAGGAATCAAATCTTATGCCCACCTAATTTTTTTTCTTTTTCTTTTTTTATATAAAGACAAAGTTTTTAATTTTGATGAAGTCAATTTATCTGTTTTTTCCTGTCATGTACATTTTTGATGTCATATCTAAGAACATTTTATCTAACTCAGTGTCACATAGATTTCCCTCTATATTTCTTCTAGGAGTCTTTTAGACTTTAATTCTAACTCATTTTTGAGTTGTTTTCATTTGTGGTGTGAGGAAGGGGGTCCATCTTCATTGTTTCACCATGTGGATGTCTACTTGTGTTCATTTCCTCCTCCCTTCCACCACTGGTAACCACTATTAATTTTTGGTTTCTATATTGTGGCGCTGTAGGATAAGCACTGGACTGCTGGTCAGTGGTTCAAACCCACCAGCCACTCCCTGGAAACCCCATATATAGGGTCACTATAAGTCAGAACATACTTGACGGCACACAACAACAGCAATATATTTGTTTTGTGTACGTGAAATCATAGTATTTGTTTTGTAACTATTTCTTAGCATAATGTTTTCAGGGTTTATCCAGGTTGTATTATATATCAGGACATCATTTCTCTTTATGGTTGAGTAATAAGTCCTGATGTGGCTCTGTGGGCTAATGCATCAGACAGCGAAGTCGCTTGAACTGCAAGGTTGGTGGTTCAAGCTCACCATCTGCTCCATGGAAACCCTTTACAGGGTCGCTGTGGATCGGAATCGACTCTATGGCACTTAACAACAACAACAGTACTCTATTGCATGTTGTTGTTAAGTACCGTGGAGTTGGTTCCAACTCACAGCAACCCTGCCTCATTTTGTTTATCCATCTGTCGGTGCTCATAGGTGTTTTCTTTGATTCCTTTGACTATTTTGAAAAGTACTGTTGTGAACACTAGCCTATAGGTTTATGTTTGCTTTCCTGCCTTCCCTTTTTTTCAGTATATATTTAATACTGGAATACCTAGGTCATGTAGTAGTTCACTGCGAACCACAAGGTCCAACGTTTAAGACCACCATCTACTCCTTGGGAGAAAGGTCAGGCTTTCAGCTCCCATGAAGATTTAAAAAGCCTTCGAAACCCTATACAGGGTCGCTATGAGTCAGAACCAACTCAACAGCACTTACCCACAAAATAGTTCTGTGTTTACATTTTAATGAGAACCAAACCTTTCCACAGTAGCAATGCCATTTTACATTCCCACCAGCAATAGATGGGGGTTCCTGTTTTCCTACAATTTTCCTAGACCTGGTTGTACGCTGGGGTTTTTTGTTGTTTCTTCAATTTTTTTAATCCCTTATTGCCATTTTGGAGTCCTGGTATGGCTTTATAGGATGAGCCCTGGACTTTGAGGTCTATTTGAAATACAAGGTGGAGAATCAAACCCACCAACCGCTCCTCGGAAACCCTGTACCGAGTGAGTTGGAACTGACTTGACAGCACTTAATAACAACAACAACATTACCATTTTATTGTGGGTGAAATGATATTTCATTGTGGTGTTGATTTACATCTTCCTAGTAGCAAATGAGAGCCCTAGTGTGGCACTGTAAGATAACCACTTGGCTGCTAACTGCATAAGCTTGCTATGAGTCCAAGCAAACTTTATAGCACACAACAAGATCAAATAACAAATGACAGAGCAACTTTTCATGTACTGTTGGCCGTTTGAATATTCTCTTTAGTCTCTGTTCAAGTCCTTTGGGGGGTTTTTTTAATGACAGAGCAACTTTTCATGTACTGTTGGCCGTTTGAATATTCTCTTTAGTCTCTGTTCAAGTCCTTTGGGGGGTTTTTTTTGTTGTTGTTTTTTTTATTACTGAGGTGGTCTTTTTTGTTATTAAGTTGTTGAAGTATTTTATATGTTTTGGATATTAAACCATTATTGACTATTATGATTCACAAAATCTTTCTCCCAATCTGTTGGTTGTCTTTTCATTTTTCAGAAATAGCTTTTGAAAATAGCAAAATATTATAATAATCTTGAATTTTATGAGGTCCCATTTATTTTTTCATTTTTTTCTGCTAGTGCTTTTGTTATCCTATCTGAAAGCCCATTGGTAAAGCTAAGTCCCATAAGCCACTCCCCCTTAGGAATTTTATGGTTTCAGTTTTCACATTAAAGTCCTTGATCCCTGTTCTTAGCAGCTGTTCTTCAGGACATACTCTAAAAGGAAAAGAAATACAAAGTGTGCCTACACTGAGGTTACACAACCAGTGTATAAGCATGTATTGGGTGCCTGCCTTCTGCAGGGTAATTTTGGGGTATGTAGCCTCAAAAATCTCTGAAAGCCCTTTGTCCTTTCATTTCTTCTCTCCAAATATAAATCAAGACTTACCTGTATTATAGTCTGGTTAACTCTAAAATGAGTTGATCTCGCTCTGTCTTCTGATGGCCCTGTTGCTGATCCTGAAGGCAGTTTGAAACTGTAGGAGAATATAGGTTTTAGAGCAAGACAGATATGACTTTAATTCATAACTCTAGCGCTTCCTAACTCTGCCTTCTTAGGGCCCTCCTTTCGTCACCTAGATAAATGGACACAGTGATGTTTATTGGAGTCCTGGTGTGGCACTGTGGATGAATGTGCTTGCTGGACTTTTAAGTCATTTTTAATCACAAGGTTGGCACTTCAAGCTCACCAGCCGCTTCTCGGAAACTCTATAACAGGATAGCTGTGAGTTGGAACCGACTCGATGGCATTTAACAAAAACAGTGATGCTTATGGAGTCATGGTGTGGTGTTGCACTATAAGCACTGGACTGCTAACTTCAAGGTCTACAGTTCAAACCCAACAGCTGCTCCTTGGAAACCCTATGGTGGTGGTGGTGGTGATATGCTGTGGAGGCAGTTCCGACTGATAGTGACCCTGTATAGGATTTCTGAGGCAGTAAATCTTTATGGGAGCAAAAAGCCTCATCTTTCTCCCACGGAGCAGCTGGTAGTTTCGAACTGCTGACCTTGCAGTTAGCAGTCTGACTCGTAACTACCACGTTAGTAGAGCTCCTTTCAGAAACCCTATACACCGTTGCTATGAACCAGAACTGACTCAATGGCACTGAACAACAACAATATGCTTATAGAGGAGCTCTAATGGTGGGTTAAGTGTTGGGCTGCTAACCCAAGGTCAGCAGTTCCAACCTACCCGCTGCCCCACAGGAAAAAGATGAGGTTGTCTGCTCCCATAAAGATTTATTTTCCTAGAAACCCTGTGGAGCAGGTCTTTTCTGTCCTAGAGGCAGTAAGGAGGTTTTATGCTTATAGCAGAGAATGATGATCAAGCATGTGTAAGTACCTTATATAGTCAGATTTTAACTTGATTTTCTGCACGTGTTGTAATTCAAAATGTGTGTGATATACACTGTGTAGGAACCTTTGTATACCCTCATATCCTCCAGGTTATTCCTTTTAGGAAGACAGTTAGCTCTGTGCCTCCAAAATACTTTATCTCGTATTTAGAAATGATCCTGTAATCTTGACTTCTGTATTGTTGTTGCTAGGCACCACTGAGTCAGTTCTAACTCATAGTGACCCTGTTAATAGGGTTTCTGAGGCTGTAAATCTTTGCGGGAACAGAAAACTTCATCTTTCTTCCACAGAGCAGCTGGTATGCACAAACCACTGATCTTGTGGTTTGCAGTCCAGTGCTTATCCCACAGAGCTACCATGTTCCCCTTAAGCAGCTCTTAAAGTCTTCTGCTCATATTGTTTTATCATTTCTTATTTTTATTTGCCTTTCCCTTCACCCTTTTACCTCTTGTACTTTTGATAATGATTATGAATCCTGTCTTTTGGCGGTTTTGTTTTGTTATTTTGCTGGGCGTAGTAGGGCTGTGGGCAACCTTTAGTTCTATTAGAATCTTTGATTATTTTATACTAAGCTGGAAGTTGTATTGATGACCTAAGTCCTTTTGATTTGAACTTTTCTTTTTAAACAGAAAATTAGAAATATCCTCTGGAAAACTGGCCAGATTTGCAGATGGCTCTGCTGTAGTACAGGTAAAAAGTCCAAGTTTTATAAATTTCATCTTAAAAATTGTTACAGAAACTGGTACTGTCTTTACAACGTCATAGAACTTCTTAGAACTGTGGTACTGGAAATTACTTCAGATGTTACTAAGGTCATTTCTAGTATCAGAACATTCCAGACAACCAGTAAGTCAGATGCTTGATATATTAAATAACTTTTTAAGAGTCCTTCCAAATTTGAGTTCTCAGGCTTTTCTAGAGAAAATTATTTTGCTACTGTCTTTAATAAGGTCCTTGGAAATTTTTCTTTATTTGTAGCCTGAATTTCTTAACAAGTAGAAGATAATGGTTTAATTTAGGGATGTGGCTAAGCCAGCAATAAGCCTTTCCCTTTTGGTTACTTTGTTTTTGAAAAACCCAATCGTTAAATTAATACTGGTTGTGTTATGGAGAAGAGATCAAGATTGGACCTCTTGTGAATAAATATGTATCATAGAGTAACAGTACCCTCCTTGAGTTTTATTTGGAGTGAGCATTCATCCAATTGCTATTTAATATGTATCCATTCGACTTTAAAGGAACTTACCAATGTTGCTTTTGTTTTGCTTAACCAAGTCAGGTGACACAGCAGTGATGGTCACAGCAGTCAGTAAAACAAAACCTTCACCCTCCCAGTTCATGCCCTTAGTGGTAAGTATTTGCTGATTTATCTGAACCTTGATTTAGCATGAATGTAGAGTTTTCAATATTTTTGACCACTATTTTTTGTTGTGTGCCACGGAGTCGGTTCTGACTCATACTGACCCTATGTAAGGTTTCTGAGGTGTGACAAGTGGGTTTGAACCACTGAACTTTCAGTTAACAGCTCATTGCTTATCCAACAGCACCATGCCAGTCCAGTAGAAATGAGGGTAAAATACAAACTTTGTATAACAAAGGATCTGTAGTTGAGTCAGTAAAATAATACAAACTGATTGCTTCACACCAGTTCTCATACTAGTGGTGAGTAGACTTTTAAAATATCCAGATGTGGAAGTTAATAGAAACAGTAGAAATATGAATGCTGATTGCTCTCTTAGGTTTCTCTCCAGTGTAAGTCTCCTGTTGTTATTAGTTGCCAGCGAGTGGATTTGTGACTCGTGGGGATCCCCTGTGTGCAGAGTAGGACTTTTAAGATCAGATTGCCGGGCCTGTTTTCAGAGAATCCTCTGGGTGGGTTCCAGCTGTCCACCTTTGTGCACCCAAGAACTTGTAATGAGTCAACAAGTTTAGATTTGTTGTTGTTGTTAAGTGCCATTAAGTCGATTCCGACCCATAGCGACCCTGTATACGGTTTTCAAGGAGCAGCTGATGAGCTTGAACCACTGACCTTGCAATTCAAACGACTTTGCAGTCTGACATGTTAGTCTACAGTGCCACTTCATTAGGATTTATGGGGATTTTTTTCTTTGTTAAAAAATAAAGGAATGAGCAACAGAATTCAGCAACACATCAAAAAGATAATACATCATGATCAAGTGGGATTCATATCAGGGATGCAAGGATG